TGTGTGTGTGTGTTTTCTTAAGCTGAATACCATACATACATACATACATACACACACACACACACACACACACACACACACACATATTAGTGTGAAGTTAATTATATAATTATATAGTTTTCTAAACATATGTTCACTTATTATATTTTTATTATTAAGATCAATATTTGTCAATTTTCAGTGATTTCATTCCAACTACATTGAAAATAGAATATTAATTACAGCTGATATTGCAGGTTTTAAAATTCAACATCAGCTGCAATAAAATTTTCTGTTTCTTTTATTTGGCTATTTTACACTGAGTTTGCTTTTAGATATTATAGTATGTAAATATGTCCCTTTTGCATATTTATCTTATTTCTACAGTTGGGTTGTATTTAATCAGGTATACACAGTATCACTCCTTGCAACCTGTCCCTAACTTCATGCAAGATGGATCTGGATTCCGTTAATGAACATTGTTCAATATTTCTCTTGGACCAAGACTTTAAAATATTCCTATCCATTCCATACATTTATATTATTATCAAATTTGAATTCATTTTATATTTAATCCTATTAGTATATATGCAGGTAAACAATTTATACTTTAATGTGACTGCAAATTATTCCCCCTGAGTTAACTAAGTGTCTACAATAGCACAAGAGCTGAATCCCATAGTGAATATTAATGGCTGTCAGAAATTGAGAAGGAGCTGCAGAAGGTATTTGTTTGCTTTGGTTCTTGATGATAATGACATTTGCATGTTAAGGGTCTTCCTTTGGCAGGTGATATTCTAATGTCAAAGGTACAGAGAAATCTTTGTTAGTGCTATCAAATGATTTTCTTGCTCAAGTCTATTCAAGCTTTAGGAGGGACATTTTTAAGAAGGGAAAAAATGTGGTTACAATGCATGTTTAATGCTAATACAGGATATTAGCTAGCAGATTTAAAGGACACATTTGTTCTTTTTGCGGACTTAAGGTAGCTATAACTGTTTCAGTTCATTGGAGAATTCAGGGATAAAAGCAGGCCTAACTAGAAACACAGCCCATCCTTTTAAAAAAAATATGATGTACAAGAGCTTTAAAATAAAAGGAATGCAGAGTCTTGTTGTAATGTTTACTCAGAAAAATAGGATTCCTCCTACTTCAGAATATAAGATCTATATATCTAATATAGGTAATGTAGGCACAATGGTCAAGTATTATACTTTGCTTTACATTGTATATGTAAACACACATACACATTAAATAAATATATTTACAAATAAATAGATGGGAGACAATGTAGCAAAAGTAGCCTTTTTCCAAATAGAATCTGAAACACTGTTATTTAGCAATAAGACAAATAGATCCCGGTAATCAACTTCTATGTAACCATGTTCAGGCTGGTGCTGTTGGATGTTAAATGTTGCATCCTATACAGCTTTCCATCAAAATCTGCTGTAAAATTTTACTGGCTGGATCCATAATACTAAATAAATGTTTTCGCAAATTAATTTAGCATTAAGAGGCTTAAATTTTATTTTTAGTTTTATTGGGTTATATTTTGGTGTGATCTGCTGCTTGTACCTGGCACTAAGATTCACTCTTAAATAATCTTACATAACTTTAAGTAATTTAAGAAAGATTTCCTTAAAAGGCAACAAATATAACAGTGTAACAGAGAATAGAATACATGGGGTGGTGAAGCATTATTTATTTAAACTGAAAACTCAGGTAGATATGTTTCCAGTAAAATAATTTTGTATGTATATCGTATTCATCCTTTCAATACTATTTCCAAGATATGTGACCAATAAGTTGTCCACAGTCTCCCCAATTAAATATCCTGCATCTTTGAATTCTAAATTGTTTAGTTTTGTATCTTATTAAGAAGCAATTAAATTAAAATGTTGTTCTTGTTTAAAAATAGAGTTTACTCTTGTTCTTTAAACTTTTTTGTAACTCCAAATTATATGCCAGTCTCTTTTTACAACCCTGTAATCCCCGACACTACCATATATATATATAAAAAACCACCTTTCTAAAAGTTAAAATGGTGTCAATCCGGGAAGAGGGGGAATCGCAGTAAGAAGCCAGGAAATCACTGAGCAAGCCTGCTAATTATTCTTAATAGGCAAGATGAACACATTCAGCAACAAATGACTGCTTCAGAAAAATGTCATTGAAAATTGACTTGGAATACTGCTTTGGATCTGAGCATCCATTTTTATATTATTGTCATTATCCTAATTATTTTTGCTCTTATTAGTATTATTCACAAGGGATACCAAAGGGTTCTATTTTTGTGAAATTTTACATTTGGGAGAGGGAGGATTTGATATATATATTTTCTTCAAAGTCACATTCACATCTGATCCATCTTTGACGGTTTTACTGTCAGTTCATTTGTGTGAGTAGTAATTTCATTTGCTATTGGGTTGTCAAACCATGTGCTCTCTAAATGCAAAATCAATATCGATCGATATATGGAACAAAAAAACCCCTCTGCATTTATATTAACTATTTCAGGTTTTAAGCCATTTTGGTTCATATCATATTTTAATCGTAATATTCCTGAGCAATGCTATCTGACATACTGTAAATAAATTTCACTTATTCTACCTCTGTTCATAATCATCTGAGTATTTTTAACTACAATGCAACAAATGAAACTGCACTTCAAAAATACATTATTTGCAATCTCTAATAAGAGAAATAAGAAATTTGAATGGTATATTTTGGAGTGTTTCATTGTTTGGGATAAAATATCCAAAGAGAAAGAAACTGTGCCAAAATGAAATTTAGTAATCAATCTGAACATAAGATTTATATTTTTTAAATGAGAATAAATGTTGATGTGATTGTGAAGGTTCTATGCTACACAGTGTGGTTAAAAAATAAAAGTTGGGTGAACTTTCATAGAAAGTTTCAAATTTATAGAACATATGAATATTTGTTTTAAATATATTTAACACTTTCCTTAAGGTCATCTGCTGTCTATGTTATTTACTCTCCTGTGTTTATATACATTTTTGCCCATGAAATTGAGAAAGAAAGGATATGTTTGGGTACAATTAAGTTATTCCCTAATATAAATGTAGCTATTACATATACTATGGGATTTTGTATGGAATTTTGACTAATCTAATAAAAGTCTAGGTTGAAGCTGAGTGTGATGAGAATATGGATTTTTGTGGTAATGCAAGTTACTTATAGTTCAGTAACAATGAGATTTGTGTTCAGTAACAGTGGGATGTTTGTATGTGTGTAATCTGGTACAGAGCTGAATTCCTAAGGCACCTTATACCTAAATCAACATTCTTGAAATTAAAATCATTGAAAAGTATTACAAGAACTAAATTTGAGAACTTTATTAGCACGTGTTCAATTAACAGGTGGGTGTAGGTGTGTTCAGTTACAATATTTAAGTCTTTTCCCTCCCTGTGATTTAGATAATGTCATTTTACAGAATTCCATGAAATATTTCCAAAGGCAAATCTAAGCTACAGAGAGAAGTAAACATTAATACCTTCATCGTCATCATCATCTTCATCATTGTCATCTTATAAACCATTATTGGTGAAGATGTGTGAACAAAGAAGCAACATTCAAGCATTTTTCTAATGGTATTCTAATCAAGATAAACTGCTAATATTAGTGCAATCATGCCTACTGAATATTTGACAGTAGCCAATAAAAAGCACAAATTTGTTTCTTTGGACTTGTACAAAGTATTGTTGCTACTTTAGTAGAAATAGTGGTGTATCTGCAAAGTTTGTTTGATTTATATAGCTACTCCCTTGTCAGGCAATTCTGGATTAATTCAGTTCAGGTTTGGAAATACATTTACTTGAGATAGATCAAGTTTACTGCCCGATCATGTAATTTTAGATTCAAATGCCTAGAACTATTGAGGAAAAAATGAGCTTCATTGCTATGTAAAACATATTAAAGATTGAAATTAATATCCTCCATCTGGAATGATGCTTTAAAGATACATACATACATACATACATACATACATACATACATACATACATACATACATACATACTATCAAGGCAAGGACAGAGAACTGAATGCTGGTCTTATATTTAGTGCTACAACACCCATAATCTCTCACCAAGGAGTACCTGGGAACAGTAATCCAAATATCTGAGGGCACCAGGTTAGCAACTGTCATGCTAGATTGTGAAGAAAGATTTTTATGTATATCTATTTAGAATAGGAATGGTGTAGCATATTTGAACTTCATGAAAACCTGTTGTTACACAATAATCCTGATTCTTATCTCTGATTCTAGCTTTTTAATTTTTGTTAAGGTAATTATATTGGTGACAGGATAAATAAGCTTTTGAGCAACTTAGGCAAAAGGAAGATGATTAAGGCATTTCTGAATGGCACTCATTCAGAATAGTTTATCAATCTATTCAGTGGAATGCACATAATTATTTTTAAATTTATATAGCCATCCATCTTACTAATGTGACTCTGTGCACATTGATTGATAAACAAAACAAATCTTAATCATTAAAAACAATTAATAAAATATAAATACATCTCATAATGGTGCGGTATTGCAGGCTAATACTGCCCATAGCCAGGGATTGGATCCGGACCGACTCAAGGTTGAGTCAGCCTTCCATCCTTCCAAGATTGGTAAAATAAGGACCTGGATTATTGGGGGCAATATGCTGACTTTGTAAACTGCTTAGAGCGGGCTGTAAAGCACTATGGGGCACTATATAAATCTAAGTGTTATTGCTATTGCTACCATATCGCAGGCTTCTCATTACCATGGGGAACCATAAGTTCATTTAAAATGTTTTAAGTGGTTTTTGGAAAGACAAAAAGGCCAGAGCTAATCTCACACTGGGGAAGATGATATTCGAAATGACGAATACTATGGCAGAAAAGTCTTATCTTCTGCATCCTATCAGATGGAACTCTTTAGTAGACTGAACCTTTAATGTATCCTTGATGCTGGACCTGATGTACTGTAGGTGTAACTAGAGAGAGACAGGTCAGGTCCACAGACAATGCAGCCTCATGCCATGTAGAGTTTTAAAGGCCAGAAACAGCACCTTTAATTGGATCCAGAAGCAAACTGGCATCCAATGTGGATTGTGGACTAGAAGTATAACATGTACCATTCTAGGGGCATATATAACTGCCCACACTGCTACAGTGCCATATTTTACACAGGTTGAAACTTCTGGATAAATTGAAATCCCATGTACAGCACATTACAGTAGTCCATTTGGGAAATAATCAGGCATGACTAATATGTATAGAGCTTCTTGATCCAGAAATGGGTACAACTGATGCACAAATGCTTCTTCCTTAATTCTTCATTTAATGCACTTATACTGTCCTATTCAGCCCCAGGAGTTCCCAAAATACGTTGTAGGGTCATAAAGAGACTAGTTGGACAGATTGCTAAAGACATAACATTGCACTAATTTCTCATAAGGAATAGGCTCAGACATGTGGCAAAGATACTGGGTATAAATCTGCTTACAAACTCAAGGCATATTATCTTGAGATTACCTGCTTGCTTGCTGAAAAGATTTTTCTCTCATATTCAGTAACATACAATGTTATGGTTGGCAACTGATCTCTTCAGTCAAGTTTTCCTCAGACAAATACCAAATAGGAATCCTTTATTCTTTGTGGCCTCATCATTTAAAATACATTTCAAATCAATATTTTAAGTGATTGCTGTATTTCAATATTTTACCAAGATATGTCCATCATGATAATATTTAAAATATATCAAATAAATACATTGGTTTGAAAAGGGAGAAATCAGAATTTACACTAATAACAAAGAAGCTCTTCTTTCTCATTGGTTCCATCAAAATATTTTACATTAAAGTTTAATTTAAAATGTGGTTTCCATTAATTTTTTTCTAGTTTAGGTGTTCATGAAATTGGGAAATTAGATCAATTGTAAATAATTCTTCTCACTAACTACGTCCGATCTCTAATGTAGCCCATTTGAAATCAGAAATTAATTTACAAATTTAAAACAATTTTTTTCCACTGAAATGAAAACTGAAGCATACCCCATTTTAGAAAATCCATATGGAAAGGATGTCTCAAAGGTACTTTTTCAAAAGGCAACTGAAGTATGGTGTTTTTTTTCCCCTTTTCCCTTGAGGAGAAAGAACACATTTCACTTTTCATCCAAGAAATTTCAGCAGTTCTGGTTGGATGGGTGGCAGGTGGATGGAAAGATGACTATGTAAAGGATATATCAACCTAAAGAAAAAATTCTTCCTCCTTAAATGAAAAATGAGATAAAATCTAAGACAATGCTTTCTAGCAAGACTCACATTATTATGTGAGTTATTATGGTTCGCTGCAGAGTCAGCCAGATATTTAGAGTGGACTCGGTATTTTTAACTATCTATGAAGTCCTTTCCAAGAACCTTGGATATAGAGATGTTGTTAAATATTTTATCACAGGACGAGATCAATTCCAAGGAAAGCTGTCTTTTGCAACTGACCAATGATGGTTTTGTCTCTGCCAGTGGTGTTCACGTGGTGCTCCAGATCTTATGGAATTGCATCCAAAGCACTATCACTATACTATCTTTGCTTTCTTTTGCCACTGTTCTTCTATTGGCAGATATTTATATATTGCAAAAAATCTCCAGATCTTTCCCTTCTATTCTTCTGTCTACAGGTACTGCCACATCCACTACCCAGACTTTTTTGTCTTATTAACAACTACTAAGTTTGGGGTATTATGTGGCAGGTGCTTGTCTGAATGCCAATAATATTTATTAGGCAAATGGTATTGATTGCAAAACTTCCAGTGCACCGTTATTGCTACTTTGTCATGCGATTGTGTGTAGTCAGTCTGTGACTGCTAAGTAGGTGGTCCACTGTTTCTTCAGCTTTTTTTCTTTTTCAGAGGTGGCAATTGCTGTTTTCTCAATTTTGGCTTTGTATGTTGGTGTCATTGTTCTTATTACTGTTACATTTGAACAAATAATGCTATCCTGCTTTTATTTGATCTAGGAACTACATAGATCTAGTCCTACTTAATTTCAATAAAGTTTTGTGCCTTTGGTCTAGAACTTACCTATAGGCAAGTTAGAATGTGTGCATGCACTGTAATCATTACTTCCCTATTCCAAATTGTTCAGCATACTTTACAACTAAAGATAAGCAAAAGCCCCTAAACCTGAGGACCAGTGTGCATAAATGTAGATGTTAAGTCAAAGAATTCTTAGATGAATGTTGATGGGACATGTATTTGCAATTTTCTGAATTCCAGAAAAAAGGTGTATCAGAAAATGCTTTGTGTGAATTAAAAAAGACTACAGAAATGTTTCTGAAATTATTTTAAATCAGCAGATTTATCTATTCTACTTTAAACATTTCTGATATGATTAATTAATCAAAAATAGTACTAAAGTAAATCAATGAAGTAAAGGTCAGCAAGATTTCCTTAAGATTTTTCCATGTATATATATGAGTGAAGGGTGGCACAGTCGACATGTTCAGTGTATCTATCAATCGATCGATAGATCGATATAGATATATAAAATTAATTACAATTTTCAAGAGTCCTTTCGTGTTGAAAAGGCTTACTTGATTGGAACGTATTTACAGAAAATTCTTAACTTATGATATAGATGTATGTGATATCATCACAAGAAATAAAAAAGCTGGAGTGTTCAAAGCTAAAGCCATCTCAAGCAGGTAAGATGTTTCATATTCTTCATGCCTATTATTTTACATTACTATTCTTAAAATGAAATCAAATGCTAGCTTGCTTGAAAACTTGCTTGATCTTCATTCAAAATCAGATTTCTCAAGCAAAAATTAAAAATTGTGCCATATATATTGACTATCTGTGCATATTTGTTTGCATCTGTATGCTTTTTTTAAAAGTTCTGAAAAGTGAACTTACAAAAACATTTGTTTTACTTTGTGTCTGTTTTGCACAAAGTGTGAATTATGTCAGCTAAAACATAACAAAATGTCATATAAAACATTTCTATACCTATGAGGAACATTGTTAAGGACAGAATTATGAACTTTGTTTATATATTAATATTTTCTGTAACTATCCACTAACTGAATACAAATTATGTTTCAACTTGGGGGAAAATTTCTCTCTTTAACTGTATCTCATAAAGAAACAAGCATAGCTCAGTTATTGCTTAATCTATGCATTTCATCCCAAAGTCAATCCCAGGGGTGGGATTCAAATTTTTTAACAATTGGTTCTGTGGGTGTGGCTTAATTGGTGGGCATGGCATGGTGGTCATGTGACCAGGGGGACGTGCCTTGGTGGGCATATTATTGGCCAACTCAATATCACTCACATCGAGGCACGCATCACTTCGCCTGGCCTCTCATGACTGTGGGGATGCTGCAACAGTCGTAAGTGTGACAAATGGTCATAAATCACTTTTTTTCAGTGCCATTGTAACTTTGAGTGGTCGCTCCACACAAGCAAAGTACCAGCAAAGGAGGGGGGGAAAAACTCCAGAGAAGTTCCTGAGACAGGAAGTCTAGTCCTGCCAAGTATGTAATAAGGATTAACGGTAACACCTTTAAATGGTGGTTTTGGGTGCTCTTTCTGGCAGTTCCTGGTAGCTACCTCTCCCTGGCGTTTGCTGACTCTCATATTTCTCATTGGGAGAGGGAGTTGATGAAGAAATTACACCTGCTAGGTTTTACGGGGGATGCCCTGGGAGATTATGTAGTTCAACGGCTTGTGGACATTGACTTGCAATATCTACAAGCCAGAGCTAACAAAACTTGCTCCCCTCAGATTTTCAGCCAATTTAATAATTACGGACTGAGGATGGCTTCTTATTTTTACACTCTAAACATTGCCAAGTATAGAAGAGCTTTCTCCCTAGCACGCTTTAATGTTCTGCCCTCAGCACTGCTGGATGGGCGATTTAAGAGGCTCCCGATTAACGAGCGACTATGCCCCTGTGACAGAGCTGAGGTTGAAACTGTGGAGCATGTCCTTTTATATTGCCCTATGTATAACGCAGGCTGATGTAAGTTACTGTCTCTCCTTGAAACGGACCCTTCTAGACCCAATGTTAGTAATTTGTTCTTATATTGTCTAGGGGATGGCTCCTCATATATCACTTATTTGGTTTCCAAATTTTTTTAAGAGCTGTAACCATCGGAGGAGAACGCTGTAATTCCCATTAGTGAAGTTTTTGGTGACCAATTGTTCATGATTAATTTTCCCATGTTCTTCTTTTGTTGTACTTCTGTTTTGGTCTGTGACCACAAATAAAGTATTATTATTATAAGGATTAACGGAGAGGCAGTTTCTGTAAGCAACACCAGAATGTTTCCTTCCTGCCTTCCTTACAGGATTAGGCCAATAATTTCTTCTAACAACCGGTTCTCCGAACTGCTTAGAATGTTAACAACTGGTTCTAGTGAATAGGTGCGAACTGGTAGAAACCCACCCCTGGTCAATCATTTCAAGATAAATCTGAAAAAAATCTATCCATAATCTGGAAAACTGCTGGCAATTCCTGTAGACATTATTTTTTAGTAAAAATCATTATATAAAGCAGTTTCCTTGGTTTTTATTTTCCTACCTCTAAGTGATTCCAGAAGAAGACTGGCTAACATGATCGTGGCCTCCAGCTCCAGGCCATTGTTTTGATGTAGATGTCCCTATGTTCTTAATGCTATTTATTATGTATGTCTTGATGAAATTAAACAATGGATAATAGCTTCCTAAACCTAACCCTTGATAACCATAGTTATCAAGAAACTTTAGCCCAGTTCATTTCAGACAAATTTGTGTCTGTTTCTATGTTGAGCAAAGGACTAGCCTGGAAAGAGGTTAAGAAGCAAACAATTTTCAGATAATGATTGACCACGTAGTCCATTTTTGTAGTGTCATCCATGTTCTCATGTCTCAAAGTTCTCTTGCTGGTCTGTTTTTTCCCCCTGCATGCGGCTTTTTTCAATACAGTTACTTGGTAATAAGGATATTGCACTCAAAGCTTCAAATATTATTTTTGAATAGACTTATGTGTGCTTGTGTTGAACATGCAATAATCAAAAGATTATTGTTTGGCCCAAGATTAATTCATAGTTATGAATGACTAAAAAGAGCAGGATTTAACTTAGTGGATTTCTAGAATTCTAAATTTGATAATCCACTGCAGATGACTCCTTCTTTTTTACAAATATCTTCATAATATTTCACTTTCAAACCAGAGGCTGTAAAGGTTGAAGAGAAATTGGAAAAAAAACCATATTTGCATTCACATTGCAGTATCATTGCCACCTGCAATCAATATTTATTAAACTTTTGTTGCTGAGTCAATAATTTCACATTTTGAGATTTGTATGGTCACTTATTTATTAATTGTTCTTTCCATTATTGCTAAATATAAAATGTTTGTGTGTTTAGAATATATAGTGTGAGATTATATATATAGTTAAAAACACATACACACACACAAACACATATTCAAAATTTCATTTCCAAGAAGATCTCAGGTTTCAGTTTATTGTGAATAAGCCTCTTTTTAGGTTTTTTTATGGACCAATATATTCTGTAGGTTTCAAATTGCCATGCAGTATATGTAGGACCATCTCTTGTCAAGATTTCCAACCTGGTCTTTTAGATATCAATCAAAACACATTTTCAACAATGTCCTCATTTACATTTATCTAATGTTTAAGGTCATTTGTGATCATTTGAGTGTATTTCAGCATATAGAATCAGTGAATAATAGATTTCAACTCCATGCTGTGAAGAAAGATTGTGTTTTTACAAGGCATAATGTTGTTTACTGGGTGTTAATAATCACTAATTAATAAACATATCTAGATTTCTGAAATGTTGCATTTTCTGCTTTGGAAAATGTCAAGTGTTTAACACACTGAGTACAATAGCATTTTCTGCTTTTATGCATGAAATAATTTCATTACAGAAAAATACATGATGTTGCATTTCAATATAGGTCATACTATTTATTTTTATGAACTATACATCCACATTTAAAACTTTTCATATAAATAGGAATTTTATAGCCTACTGTATTCTTTAAGATCTCCTGGTGTTCCTTCTTTTCTATTGATATCTATAAGTTGTGAATTATGCTAAAATTAATAGAATTCATCCGCAACTAAAAAAAATTAAATATGATTTTTGGATTACTGAATAATCCTAGTCTGCAAATTCCTTAATCAAAGTTATATAATTTGATAAATGTTCCTATAATACCTAGGCTTTAGTTATAGTTTGAATTATTGCTATATCAAAGGGACAAACTCTGTTCAAGAAGCATGAATGGAGTTTTGTTTGGGGAATAGGTTGTTGTGTTTACCTTCTAAGAGTAGAAGGTCTGGCAGGTTTTCAGTAACTTACTGTTTTCATTGGTAACCCTTATTTCCCTTTCCTTCAATGAGAAACAAAGAGTATCAGATGTGTGAGGCTGGTCTGATTGATTTTGAATGTGGAGCAAATTAAGAAGACAGATTGACGACCATTTTTTTCATATAATTAAAAACAGCATAAATTGGAATATGATGAAAAAAACAGCAGAAGACAAAGAGAAGATACCGCAAACTGCCACAAGTTCCATATTTGTAGGAAGACATGGTTAATGGCACTGATGAAAGTCTTTTGTCAATAGTTTGATACTTATTTAATTTTATCTGTTGAGGTTTTTTTCAGTTTTCTTGAAATGTTAGCTTTTCTTTCTAATTTCATGTCATCGGTCATCAATGTACTCCTTTTTTAAAATTACAGTTTTCCTAAGCCTCAACCAGGATAGTATATTATCATATGTAGCAGCAGGGGTGGGATTCAAATTTTTAACAACCGGTTCTGTGGGCGTGGCTTAGGTGGTGGACATGGCTTGGTGGTCATGTTATTGGCTGGGTGTGGCCAACTCAATATCACTCACATCGAGGCACACATCTCCTCGCCTGGCCTCTCATGACTGTGGGGATGCTGCAACAGTCGTAAGTGTGAAAAATATAAGTCACTTTTTTCAGTGCCATTGTAACTTTGAATGGTCACTCCACATAAAGGAGGGGGAAAAAAACTCCAGAGAGGTTCCTGAGACAGGAAGTCTAGTCCTGCCAAGAATGTAATAAGGGTTAATGGAGAGGCAGTTTCTGTAAGCAACACCAGAATGTTTCCTTTCTGCCTTCCTTACAGGATTAGGCCAGTAATTTCTTCTAACAACCGGTTCTCCGAACTGCTTAGACTGTTAACAACCGGTTCTAGAGAATAGGTGCGAACTGGTAGAATCCCACCCCTGTGTAGCAGTGGTTAATTGCTTTTCTAAAAAATCTTCTATAAAAATGAAGAATATTCATTAACTCTCTATGCTAGTTATAAGAATTCTGTTGTGCAAATTATGATTATAGCAATAGCTCTATACCGTTTCACAGTGCTTTACAGCTATACCTTATAGAGTCAGCATATTGCCAACAATCTGGATCCTTATTTTACTGACCTTGGAAGGATGGAAGGCTGAGTCAACCTTGAGCCTGATGAGGATCAAACTGGCAGTCAGCAAAATTAGCTTGCGATACTACATTCTAACCACTGTGCCACCACAGCTCCGATGATGGCTCTCTTATTTATTTAGAAATACACGACTTCCTATTTTAAATCTAAAATAAATAAATCTGTAAGAGTTTTAATCCTTAATGACCATACATTGGTCTTCATTGATAAAAATATG